AGTACAAGTCTACCAACAACATCTCCTGAAATGATGATTTTTAGTAAAGAGATAAAAACCATCTTACTTTTTTGAAAAGACGTTCCAACACGTCTAATCACGAGCTCTTCAGCGCCTCTAATAACGCCGGCAAGCAGACTGAGACTCAGCAGCACTAAATGCTGATCACAACATCCTGTTCAGACCACACGTAACAATAACCAATCAGATGTGCGTTACATCAGTTCCACTGATCTTAGCATGCAGGAATAAAAGCACACAAAGTGCTCTGATAGTGTCGGGTTAATGCTTTAAATCAGTATTATCATCATTATGAGATTGTTATTAAATTAAATTTTATTTTCGTGCTAACAACTTCTTCCTGTTCTGATGTCTCAGGGGCAGGCGACGCCCGAGGGACTACAGCTGTGTGCAGTGAACTTGTTCTGTTTGAAAGGCTGCTTTCTGTTTGTTAGAGAAAATATTAGAAAAAGAAATAAGAAATATAGCATCCAAAAAAAAAAGGAAATAGCCACAATAGTTGCTATACTCAGGACAAAAGGTAAGAAAACCTGCCTTTGGCTGATTATTTGTGCAACGGTGCTTCTCAGTAACAAATCTTAGACTATTGAAAAGCTGACTTACGTCCTCTGACACGGCGCCTCACTAGTGAGGAGGATGAATTTGTGGGTGGAGCAGCAGAGTTGAGGACGCACGCGCAGGCAACCCTTCTGCCAATGACCAGCAGGAGGCGTCTGGGGGCAAGCAGGGCTGTGTTTTTTAAAAATATCGATATATTTTTATGTGAGATATGAGCTGTGACAATATCCTTTATATCTTTATATCTATGTTACGTTATAATTATACTTGTGGAGCCGCAGGTTTGCCTCTCTTTGTCCACTTTTGTCTTTACGCAACGTTACTGGACCTCGCCTCTATCCTTCACTGAACACAACTCCCCCTCCTCCCCCATCGCTTCACCTGCAGGCAGCGACAAGATGGAGACGGCAAATCTCCGTTAACGAGTTACTGCGCATTGCCCCGTGCGTGGGGCTGGACGGCGACAACGTGTTAACGAGCTAACCGCGCTAACGCCATCTGCACAGCCGAATCCTTTCATTTTCTCAAAAGTTGACAGCGCACCTTATGGATGAATTCTGGTTGTGCTTACTGGCCGCGAACCGATTTTATGTGCACGGCGCTCAGCAATCTGTCAATAAATGTTTTAGTACGACTTTGGTAAGCTACGGAGCCGCACCGCTTGATGGAGTGTCGAAGCATTACGGCTACCGAGGAGCCTCGCGGAGTGATACGTACTGTGCTTCAACGTAGTATTACCGTATTGTGTGTGTATAAGGACCATAAATGGCACCTGTAAGCGCCGTGGTTACGAAGAGGATTTCAAACTCCAGGCTGTCAGTCATGCAGTAGAAGTTGGGAACAGAGCAGCTGTGAAATCTTTGTTATTATGCTCAGCGTCTGAGCCTGGAGTTTGAAATCCTCTTCGTAATGGCAGGATGCTGTAAAAGGACCAAACTTCAGCCAGGAGAACAACTGAGATAATCCATCCACAATACGAGGTTAGTCATTCATATACTGCTGCATGGGCTGGGCTGTAG